AGAGATTACTTCAGGACATGGTGGGTGCAGCCGTTGGGATAGTGGAGGAACTGACCGTGCTGGAGCTTCTCCCAAGTGCTGAGATGCCAGCGTACCATACCCTAGAGGTGACCGGGACATATCCCGTACTTCGGGTGGCCCCGAAAGACCACTCGGCGCACATGAGTCGACTGGAGGCCTCGTATTTTTATAATAATGTTGTGTGCTCCAGCCCCCTGAGCTTGTGTATGGCCAAACTGCAGCAGTCGAAGTGTGCTAGGTAAGGTCTTTTAGTGTCTTCAATGATTTTTTTCTTTGCTATAGCAGGCATAAGGCAACTCAATTGTTATTTACACTCCAAGCCATAAGAAGCCTGCAACAAATCCTTATCTTTTGCAATTCTAATAAAAATGCATTTCACACCTCTACAGGTGGTACAAGGAGCGGAAAGTGCGAATCACGAGCTCCATGGCGCACACCATTTTAAGATCCAGGAAGACCCCCGAGGACCTCTCCAAGAGCCTGCTTGGTGCAAAATGGTTTTCATGTGATGCTACACGTTATGGCAAGTTATATTCCAATTTCAATAGGAGTGCTCTTAATTTTTAAGACCTGGTTCTACCAACATTTCCCATGCAGGCTTGCGGACTGAGCCAGTGGCGAGGAGTGCATTTGAAGTGAAAGTCGGGGCCCGTGTTGTGGAGGTACGGCATTTATATAGAGTCTTTGAGTATATGACCACAAGTTTGGAAGTGTCAATAGCCTACAAATGTAAGGCGGCTTGCTAAACAATATGTGACCTTCGTGGCACCATTGTATGATAATTCTAATCTCCTAATTGTTTGCTAGATGTGATAAATGCTCTGTGTCCATTCTAGGTGGGGCTGCTTGTGCACAATCAGCAGCCATGGCTGTGTGGCAGCCCTGATGGCCTTTTTGCGACCGGTGAAGGAACCATTCTACTTGAGATCAAGTGTCCGCACTCCATCAAAGACTCTGCGGTCATAGATTCAACGGCTGAGGTTACCTTCGTGAAGTACCTCGTGTACGAAGAGGGTAGGCTGTGTTTACGGCGCACTCACAAGTACTACACTCAAATTCAAGTCCTCATGTACGTCCTTAACCTGGGAGAGTGCTTTTTCTTTGTGTACACGAGTGTGGACAGTGTAATTGTTGCTGTGGAGAGAGACAACATTTTCTTGGAGACAGCCATCCGGCACTTGGAAGGCTTCTTTTTTTCTCATTACTTGCCAGCAATTGTTAAGAAGTACTGTACATAATCTTCCCCATCTCCAAGTGTGTTTGTGGTTGTTTTTTATCACATGTAACATCAACTTGGAAGCGAGTCGTTTTCATAGTCATTTGCTGAAAAGGGGGGACATTTTTTTCAATAAAGAGTGCCATCTTGCATGTAGAGGAGCATTAACCCGTGTTACTTATTTGTACTTAAAATAGGATAGATAAGAGTTTTCTTGTATTGCTTGTCATGAAATAAGCTCATGCCATTCTTTTGAGAAGCCCTTTTATTCTTAGTATTGCAAAAAGCAAATACAAATAAACAAACTTTGGTGCCAACTACCAGGTCTATTTCAATGGCTCGAAACAAAATATCAGATGTAGTTTGTTAGTGCATTCAATTCCTGGCCTATAGATGTTTTCCGTTTCTTGTGGTTACGTGGGTTCCACATCTGCTTGGTGGAACGAAAAAATGGCACATTTCAAGCTGGAATATGCGAGAAAACATAGGTGAGGCAAAACAAGGAGTAACAATCATGCATTTTTTGTAAACAACTTTTAGCGGTGCGAAGAGATCAAAACAATGTTTCACCGCATACCAGAAGTGACGCCATTCAAGATGGCTGCGCCCTTTTGGAAAAGGTGTATACAGTCTAAGCTCGTTATTACAGACCTTGGTTTCGACCAAGATTTCGGTCTGTTGTAAAAGGAGTATGTTGTATGCAGATATGAAGTTGAGTCAATGGCCGCATAGAGGAAAACCAACCAGACTCTACAAATCGGTATGTTATATCCAAGTGTCTGTCGTAACCAGGTCTGTTATAATGAGCTTAGACTGTAGCCGGCGATAGGTTTGAAACAACCTGATTTCACACTTTTGGTCTCGGGCTCATGGCTGTGATGCAATTATGGCAGGTTGCAAGTTCGCCAGAATGCAGCACATATGAAAAACATCGCTCATTACTGGTATGAGGGAAATTGGTACCCGAGTGTTTAGAATGTTGTACACTTTGATTCGTCGAATCATTCGCTCCACATGAATACGGACTTGAGCAATGTTGTACGTCTCCTCTACCTCTTGGCAACTAAACTGCCCAGCCCCTGAAAAAAAAGGAGGCATGGCAAGCACAGCATTACTGCCCTCTACGCTAGCCTTAATACCCGGAAAGCCCTTGTCTGCTAATATCACGTCACCTGGCTCAACCAAGTTCAAAAACTGGGAATCTACAGTAATATGGAGGTCGGAACAGCGTCCGCCATAGGCCTTGGAATGAAAACAAATCATCCCATTTGGAGTCACTGCGACCAGAAACTTCAGAGTGTACCCTGATTTGTATGCAGAATACAAGGCACGCTGCTGAGCCACAGAGCCCGGCTCCTCTGTGCGAACTTCGGTACAATCAATGATCATTTTGCATTCTGGGTAGTGTGCCTTAAAGCATGGGGCAGCATGGACAGGATGATTGAAGATGGTGGGCGAAAAATCCACTTTTCAGTTGCAGCAGACAGTGATGCAAGCACAGTACGAAAATGCCGTGATGCTGTGGTGCGATGTATACAAAACAACACTGCAAGTGATGAGTAGCTCATCCCTAGTTTCATTTTCATCAGAAACAAGAGGAGCTTGTTTGCCATTGATGTGTCCACCGATCGTTCTGAACCTACAGGAAGCATGCTCAGAAGCAGGGCAAACACGGTTGTGGTCACACTGCACAAGTCCTCCAATGACGTAGGAGAATGACGGACACTCTAGTAGCCTTGGAAGCACCCTGTTCTCCGGTCAGGACCAGATTGCCGTGACGACACAGACGGCACCCTGGGGTGTGTAATCTGTGTTGAGCCGTTGCCATCTTGCAGGGTAGAAATGTAGACCGAAAACTGCCCCTTGCAGATCTCCATGTCATCGGTCTGAGAACCCTAGAAGTATATGCATTTGTCACGATTGGTGCAAATAATAAAGTGGCATGACAAAGAGTAAGTTCATAACAATTGGGAGTTCTAGTGAGCCGTTAGGAGGCAAACGGTTCCCTCCCCCCTTCACCCCCCCCCCCCCATTCATTAATGCAACTGTGAATGTGTGCGGAAATTGCAGTCAACTCTGGAATAGTTTGACTGGATCGTCACGGTTAGCGGTACGTGAACTAGCATAAGAGATGAAGATTTGCCTTGCATCATGGCGGATGAAGCAGGACGAGCAATGGAATGAACATCTCAACACGGCCCAAAGAAGCTGTGGTATTGTTTCGAAGCGAAAGGTTTGTCTACAAATGATTCGCCAATCCGTGCTGTTGCACTATTCCGACGCATTTGATCTCCTCGGACTGATGGGGCATCGCGGCCGCCATCACGGGTCCGACATTGTAGACCGTGTATTTCAATAGACGCAAATAACTGGTAAAATGGCACCTTGAAGGCCATTGCCTAGTCTTCTGTTGTCGTTGTACTGCTTTACATACACATGAAATTGCCACTGGCAGGCATCGCATAAACTAAAATTAGGGTTTTTTTTCCAAGAGCTCCGAAAGCAAACGTAGAGCACAACCAAACAGTCTCTTCGAAAATCATGTACAATTACTTGAAAGTGAGCATATGTACCTACTCGCCAGCTCGATTGCACCCTTTGCGTATGCCATGGTGTTTATTTTAGGTGGACTTAATTGTGAAATTGACAAGATTATTTCAAAATTTTAAAACTGCAAAAGATGTCCTATATCATGCAACATCCCCAATAAACGCTGGGGCTTCAGCGACTTACTGTTCCGAGTCATCCTCGTTTACGCTGATGAAGTGCAGCGAAGAAAAATCTAAAAAAACGACCGAAAGCTTTTTCAAGCGTAGTCCGGTCACCTCAAAACAGCTTGCTACACATCAATTATTACAAAGTCCTGAACATTTCCAACACTTCGGAGTTTAGTTACCACCCGATTGCCAAACACACCTCTGAGTGCAGCGAACTTTGTTCAGCCGACCTTCCTTCGACCACCAGGATTGGAGGTCACGCCTCAAGATACGGACGAGAGATCATAGAAGCCTTCGCGGTGCACCACAGTCACAACAACTTCGGGTCTTCGTCCCTAGGCTTATCCAGGAGGGAGATATACTTCCTGGGGCCAGAGCTGACGTCCCTCGTTTCCGCGGCTCCAAGTGATTAGATGTCAACCCCACGGGATCGTCCTTCACTGACTTGCCTCTACACCCCCTCCCATCGCTTTCCCCTTTTCCAGTGTGGTGTCTTTCACCCTCCCCTCCTTCACATATATATGTAACTTTGGGTCAATAAACGTTGTTGCCAGTTGGAAGTCTTCGTTGTCTGTCCCCCCTTTTCTATGTATCTTCCTCATGTTTAAATCTACAAGACGTTGCCGCAGACGTCTTTGCGCTATATTTTGTATCACCTAATGTCCGGGCACAGCGGATTCTTCGAGCCATCGGTGCCAATCCAAGGCCGTTTCACCTTATGTCCGCTGCGTCCTGACGTAAGGTGAAACGGAGTAGTGTCCCATGAGGTCCTGTAAACCACAATGTGCATGCGCATTTGTTGGTTTTTTGTTTTAGATATCTGGTTGCACATATTTTAGATAATTGTTAGGGCATTTTCGCACGCCACAGTAAAAGCAATATGTATGTGTACCCTTATGAATTCCACGTTCTGCTGATTAGAGTTAAGAAATTCTATTAGTAACTTCAGCTTGGTTGATACAGAAATCTTACCACTGAACGCTGTGCTGTTTCACTGGATTCTGCAGCACTTTCTAGCAGGCCGTCCTGCCGATCCTGTGTGCCGACAAAGTTTTGATGCCAAGCTGGGCCTGGGCTGCATAAGCATCATGAAAATTAATAAGCAGCTTGCTTAAGTCGGCAGTCAAACATCACGGTATAAAACACATCCGGAGTCTAATTTCTTTTCTTACTGGAATATTTACTGCATAAGTTTGCATATTGTAGATATCAACAATTCGAAACACAGGCCAGGTGCCATTCGGTCACTGCGAGGGAAGGGTAAGAGAGCTAAGGAGGTAAACTGAGCACTGAAGCGATAATTGAAACTATTTTGGGACTTTACCTGTCAAGCCCTGATGCTTGGTCCTGGAGGATCCCATCTGTTGCACTAATCTCCGGGTCATCAGTCTGATCTTCCTAAAAAGCAGACAGGTTTCCCATAATCCATGTGAATACCATAGTGATGCGACAAAGAGCCAAGTTGACAAACAATGAGCAAGACTGTGTACCCCAAGACTTCAGACTAGTGTCGCTTCAACACCTGTTGTGAACCTAACATGTAGGTGTAGTAATTACAAAAATAGAGAAATATGCAAAAAATAAAGTAGAAGAGCAGAGCCCACGCAGGCCTGCGGAAATGACGAGGATCTCGCATGCCGATGAGGCGGTGACCGGTGGAGCCTGGGGCGGGAAAAGCCCCGGAATGAGACCCGTCTGACACGAGTGACACTTCGAGCCGCACTGATTTACTAATGGTCAACAGCATGGGGCTGCGCACCCTGGGGGGCGGCCAGCCTGAGCGCACGGGCGCCAGTGGTTGGTTTGTGGCACCATTTATGTCGTGTAGAACGCTTTAACAAAAAATTTTAATACTACAGTGAGCACATTTGTTGTTTTCTTTGTTTTTTAGAGCGTAGCTCTTAGGGGCCCGTTTCCAGCCTGAGCGGCGTCGGCGTCGCCGTCGGCGTCGGCGTCGGCGTAACCGCGCCCCTCCCTCTCCTCCTCCTCCCCTCCTCCTCCTCCTTCTCCTCCTCCTCCCCTCATTGTGTAGTACGGTCCGGGCGGGTCACGTGACCTCGGGGGGAGGGGGTCACATGACCCGTTTCCAGCCTGTGCGGCGTCGGCGTCGCCCCTCCCTTTCCTCCCCCCTCCTCCCCCGCCAAGGTCACGTGACCCAGGGGGCCGACTCCCCTCCCCCCGCCGAAGTCACGTGACGGCCCGCCCAAGGTCATGTGATCCCGTCCCCTCGAGGTCACGTGACCCCCCGGACCTCTGTCCTCCTCCTCCTCCCCCTCCTCCCCTCATTGTCTAGTATGGTCCGGGGGGGTCACGTGACCTCGGGGGGAGGGGGTCACATGACTTCAGCGGGAGGTCACGTGACCCCCCTGGGCTAGCAGGCATGATCACGAGGGAGGAGGAGGAATATAATCTCCACTCCTCCTCCTCAAGAGCTGCGCTCCAATTCTGCGTTACAGGAAGTTGTAAACGGCTTTCACTTTTTTCAAAACAACCATGAAGAGCTTTCAGCTAAGTTCAAATAACAACAGCCCATTTGTGCCCCCCAGAAGTGCCCACGCCTCACTGACTTGGGTCTGACAAATCCTAATGTTACATTTGACACTTGTTGATGCAAAAGCCTTACCACGGAAGGTTGTCTCTCCTCTCTGAATTCAACGGCTGTACATAAAAGGTGCAGGCCCTCATGCCCACCTCGGCTGCCGCTGCTAGTTCGTTCCCTGCTTGTGCTTGGGATTCCAGTCAAAGATGAAGCGGGACCCCCCAGACTCGATGCTTGTCTGCTTGCTACTCTGTGATGCCATCTGCAAACAATATTAGATTGATGCGAGTCACAAACAGAACGTCCTGTAGCTATTCATGCAGTGCCCGTGAAATCACGATCATAAGCTGGACGATCGCCTAACCCGGTAGCACGTTGCTTCCCCATTAAAAACATAAAATATTGAGCGGTGCCCCGAACCCCTGCAGATTTTTGCAATGACACAGGCTTTTCGATTTCGGTGTACAAACAATAATCTACAAAATTGGTGTTCAAATTTCAATTGCGGTTAATATGGTCAAAAGCAAATCAGCCGGGCAAGAAACCGTTGGCACAAAATAGTGCAAGCCACGAGGAATGACTGTTTATAATGGCAAGAGCAAGCTTGTTTGTTTTAGCAGTTTCTCATAACGAGGGCAGATCTTGGACACCGCAAATCTTAGTTCCGGTTCGATGCGGAGCACTGACCTGTACTTTGTTTTAGTCCACGCCATCGCAGAGAAGACAAGTACATATGTCTTTTCAGTTCTCGAGGCGCTTCACGACCCCCAGCTCAAGTTTGAGAAACACTGCAGTAGCATAATAACAGTTAGCTTTAAGTACAGATGTTGTTGACTTCGAAATCAATGTATTAAAATATCTGCAATTAAAATATTCAAAAATAGTGACTTTTTCGGAAAAATATACAAGGATATCAAATTAACTACTGAAGTTCAATGATACAATAACCGCTGAAGTTATAACTAGAGCTGGTCAAAACTTCACCTGTCAAACCTTGACGCTTGGTCCTACGGAATCACTGAACTCCTCTTGTACACTACTGGAAAGAGTGTGGGGAGGTACGCAGGATGGGCTGCGATGTTGCTTTTGGCATTATTGACAAAATGCTCTGAACAGATCCTGGAGCTGCTGTTTGGTACCCATTCTGAGCCGTCTGTGCTGCAAGAGTAATCCAAATACATAGTCACATTAATATTTGTATTGCAGGTTAACACTCGTAAGGACTCAAATACGGCACAAGGAATATCTTTTTGTAACTCTTGTTTTCATAAACTTAGTAGAAAAAAAAATTCAGATGAACACAGAAAAAATTTACACAAAAGCCACTTTTTCTTCGGGAAAAAATTCCGTAGGACCATTTTAACCAATTTGGTGTCGATTAAAGACATCGCAAAGTGACAAAGTACCGATCATCTATCAGAATTCCGCGTCAAGGCGGCAAGGAACCGAAAAAACAGGAACGTCTCAATTCGAATGTGTTACGAATTTCCTTCACCCGGCTCTGTTTGCGGCAGAAGTCTTCCTCGGGTTGCCTCAGTTTTTCTTAGTTATATATTTTTTTTGCACCGATGAATTCGGAGAGCAATCTACAAGAATAGCAACCCGTATACTTAGTACGACCGCAGGGTTCTTCACCAAAACCCAATCTTAAGCGTCAAGCGACAGCGTACTCGAACACTGCATTATTTCGGCTTGTTGGAACACACCATTGAACGGTTATACTCCCTTTACACGCCTGACAGCCGAGATCCATTTCTTACGCCGTTCCCTCCGCGACGGTTGCGAAGGAAAGCGGTGCAGTTTCACGTGTCCGAGTCCCTCGTTGTTATGACAGTTCTTCACACAGCAGTACCGGTACGTCTTCCGTTTCGTCTTGGTACGGCGATTTTCGTCGTCAGAGGGTTGATTATCGGCGTGCTTACTTTTGACCGGTGGCATGAAACTTGGTACGCAGACTTAACACGAGCAAAGGACCGTAGCAGAAGTAGAACGTGCCCAACGTAAACAACGCGTACGTACGGCGATGCAAATGGCGAAGCTGGCGAGGCCAGCGAGGCAGACTTCCCATTGCTTTCGAAGTTGGGCGATAGATGGCGCGACCTGTCAGGGCAAACTCGATTGCTCGGAGGCTATTGGTCACTTCCTCCAGTCGCTTTCATGCCGAGCGAAAGCGGGTCCTCGCCGCCGTCGCGTCGCTCGCCAAATCGCTTACATGCGGTTTATGTTCCTGGCTACGCCACTGCTAAGAACACACCTCCAAAAAGTTCACTGATCGGAGCCTTGTCCTTCAGTGTTGGCTTTCCCAACGGCTTTCCCCAAGCTTGAGGAAGACTCGTGCACGTCGCAACTTCATCCTCGCTGACGAACAAGGCGACCGCGGCGGCGTGTTTACAGTCGCCACGGGCGCCGTAGCGGCAGTTGCAAGTGCTGTCGACGATCTCGCGCGACACGGGATTCAGCTGCATAAATAGAAATAAATCATAGAACATTTGCTGCAATTATTTAGCAGCCGTTATCAAATGAAACTGCATTCAATCGTTCCTTTACCTGAATCGTGATGTCGTACACGTTCTTGCCTTGCTGCGAATGGCACTTAGCCGAAATGTCACGGCCATACGTCTCTTTCGCCGCATACACATGCTTGCTTTCGAGAAGCTTTCTACCTTTTTTCAACCCTTGTTCACGAAAAAAGGAGTCAAGCGCATTAATAGGCTTAAAACCGCAAAACAACACGATGGGAGGCATCCTGCCGCTACTGATCCTGACTGAACGACAGCACCGTGCACTCCCGGATGTCCGCCCGCCGCGACTTCCCATCGGTTGGTATTATTGCCGCCAGAGGTGCTGACGATCGTATGACAGTGGTGCCACCTAGTAACCTGCTCAGGGGCTATACAAAGCAAATGCGAATTAAAAAGAAAAAAAAAGAAAAAAAGAAAAGGCCCCTGAGAAAACTGAAAAAAGAAAGAAATATTAAAAAAAAAAGAAAAAAAAAGTGTTTGCTTGTACGTCACTAGTGATGGGACGAATCACCCGAGATTCGGATTCGGACAGATTCGGAAATTTCCGAACTTCCCGCGACGAATATTCGGCAGATTCGGAGATTCGTCCGAATCGTCGCTGGTTGCAGGCGGCAGCATAAACCTTGTCGTAAACCTCGCGAATGCGGTCAGTTGTGCTTTTCTAGCTACTGTTACTGCATATGACCAGAATTCGTCTTGTTTATTTCAACGTATGGTATGTACTGTACTGTCATTTATAGACCCTGGCACGCGCCCAGATCCAGCTGAGCTGATCGGTGTGGTTGACGTAGGCCTAACCAATGCACGGTCTCGCTTTCTGTGCGGTTTCGCGGTGATCGGTAAAATGTAGCGAAACGCTGTGTATTATACATAATGTGGCGCAACGAAAAATAAATATATATTCAGCCAAGGAAATGATTCGTCTCCTTCTCTAGAGCTGCGTATGTCTGTACTTGTAAGTCGCGAGAGCGAGATACCGGGGGCAAAGAAAAACGTCGCACTGTCGTTTCTCCGTTCTCGGCAGCAAGTTTTGTATACGTGAACTTTATTTGATGAAAAAGAAACACAATACAGGGGTGTCCAACGCAACTTCATTATTCGGAAACAGACTATAACTAAATCGGATAGCATGCATTAACGAAGTTTCAGATTGTTTCCCGTGTTCCGATAGCAATACCTCAGTGGATAGTCAATCGTTGTAGATAATCGAATCGAACATACTCACTTGTGTGGTGTGTGCCACACTGACAGCAATTATCGGCACGAAATGTGTCTGTACCGAACAGCACTTACGGCATCGATCTCTTGCGGCGATGAAAACATACGCTTGTATTTCCACGTGCGTGCATCAAGCATGCCTATTTGGGTCGTAATCCAGAACCGAAACCAACTTTCCCGCGATGTCTGGCTACCGTTCTCCATAAACATTCAAAATACTATAAACAAAGTGGAACATTTTATTTACTACTGTGATATTATATTACAATAATCTTTCGTGTACTTCGTAAAATTTAGTGAATTTAATATCACAAAAAGTTGAAACACACATCAACGTGATTTAGCAACCATGGCAACGCTCCGAATCTTTCCGAACTTTTCCGAATCGCTTGAGATTCGGCTACTTTTCCGAATCTTTCCGAATTTGCAGATTCGGCTCCGAATCTCGATTCGGATAAAGATTCGTCCCACCACTATACGTCACTTGAAGCGACAAATAGGGACTCTAACCAAAAATTTAATAAACATTTAACCGACGTTTCGGGACCAGTTCAGTCCCTTGTTCACAGGTGAGTGACGAAAAGAAAAGAACACGCGTCGCCTAAAGGCACATACGGATGCAGGGGGCTTTGCTCACGTCACGCAGTCCCGAGACGTAGCTGCTGGGCAGGGAGCCCGAAGAACGATTCACGTTCCCTTTTGTGTGCTGGATAAACCAGGACTCAACGAAGAGCCGCTTTCGCCAACTCTTCTCCAAGGCCAGCACGGTGCTTCCCTCGAAGTTGACAGTGTGGCCGGCTGCCTCTGCGTGCTCCGCGAGGGCGCTCGCCTCCACATCCTTCTTCCGGACATCATATTTGTGTCGCATATGAGGCCAGGCTTAGTTGGCGAAACTAAGAACTGCGAAGTTCTTAGTTCCGCCAACGTATGAGGCCAGGCAATCCTTGCATGGTATGCGGTAGACCTAGGGAGCTTTCATGTGCGCTTTGCTAGGGTGATGCCACCCTTTGTAATACCACTCGCCGACAAACCAGCAGCCATTTTGCTCCTCGGCGATAATCCGTGGGACTTATTACCCTCCCGGAAACAAGCACCTTATCTCAGAAGTTCGGAGCAGCGTTGTGGAATCCACGGAGGGAGGATTAACATTTTCCCCCTCGGATGGGATTACCGATGGACACAAAGGCCACTTTCCAGCGCACGGGGAAACAATGAGAGAAACAAAATGGTGGTGGAAGAGGGTGTGGGAAAAGGAAACAGGCAGTTGGCATCACTCTATGCGAAGCGCACATGAAGGTACTCCGTTTCAAACATCGCGTGCAACGCTGGGAAAGGTACGGAAGTAGTGCGCATGAAAACACACCAAACAATGTATTACTCCGCGAGTTTTATGGACGAGCGGTACAAGGAACTGCTCTCGCGATCGCGACGTCTCGGCGGCGGTAGTTCAAATCCACATGACGCCCACTTTTTTTTTTTTGTTTTTTTTTTTTTTGTTTTTTTCTAGACGTATTTTTCTGCGCATTGCGGAGGTGCATATTTCAAT